TTCTGAACATTAACTGAACCATTACCTGATTCAGCTAGAGAAGGAATTCCCTGTGTTAGGGGAACTGTAACTGGGGTAGCCTTTCCTATTGATGAGATCAAGCCAAAAACAAGCAACCCAAAGGACAAGAGTCACCCGGTATGTAGCACGACCGTTAGAGCTTTAACTGCCTTTCCTGAGTGTAGTTCTGTATGGGATAAATCTTCCCGCAGGGGATAAACAATCAACATCTTACTAGCAGCTCCGTTGTTTCCAGCCTAAGGTCTATAATAGCCTATAGCAGTTGTGGTTGTAGCTCAATCAGTTAATCTTCGTTCATCCCCTTTTCACTCGGCTGTCTGTCTCCGTTAGCGCTGTGGCAATCGGTGTCGTGTCAAGCACCTTCCTTCCTGTAGTTAAGGAAGCTGCTGATATAGAATAAGTGCTGGGCATATATAACCAAAGATCGGAGTAACCGCCTCCCCCTAAAGCAATTGTAGAAGCTCCATCTCCAATTAATGTAGCAGCTTATAACATCCCCCTCAGGTGACTGAACTACCAGAATTCCTTACAACTCGTGCCCCATAGCCTTTCTCTTTGGCTAGAATAGCTCTCAACATCTTTCCCATCTCTCCAGTGTCTCAGATCCGGATTGTCTGCTCTTCCAATCAATCTCCGAATCGCTTCCCTTGAGGCGGGAACTCAATCAAAGAGAATGGGTGGGATTGTTCTTAAACTCAATCCTAGACTGACCTTGAGCGCTGCCTCTCAACACTGGCCCTAGGCTTGCCTAAGACAGACTCCTCTTTTCCTTCTTCTCGGTGAACTGAACTACCTTATGATGCCATCTCTCCTTCGCTCTTTATGGCAACTAGTGAAATGTAAGCTAGATTGCCCCTTGGCTTTGGGTTGGGATACGTTGAATCCGTTCTGCTGAGTTCTATTTTCACTACTCCTTGCCCCTGCCCTTTTATCTTTCTATCCGGCTAGAGAGTTGGATAGATGTTTTGGCTTTATCCTTTCTGGGTTCCTAGCCCAAAGGTTCTAGGGTTCGAGAGAGAATTCTGACTATAATAGTTGGAAGGGAAGAAGGTAATCAAATCAGTAGAATAGAATGCTGCTTTCCGTACTATCGGTTGTTCACATTCAAGCATGAGTAACCAGTCGATTCTATATATAAGATATAGCAGTCAACCATCAAGAAATCATCAACCATTTAACCCGAGATGGGCTCATACCTTTTTTCGTGTAGTGGGACTCCTTCTTCGTCAGTCAGAGACAGCAGCAGATAAAACAAGAGCGAAAATCGCTAATGGTGCTTTTATACGAAACTTTCTTTATAGTATACCACTTCTGGCTCGTCATGCTGCATCTCTTGCGAGACCAGGACCTTTTATCACGACTTTCGCCTCTAGCGTACCCTGCTTCCACTACTGTACGAATAGCATTTCCTGCTACGGTTTGAGCAGCAAACGGGGTGTCAAAAATCTCTTATTCTCTTTTGCCTTTGAATTGAATTCAAAACTGCGTAGGACCAAGAAACCCCCGGCAAGAGTAGGCCAAACAAGCAAAGGAATGAGCGTCTCGCCTTTAGTCTAATAAGGGCGTTAGCCCAGTGCAATGAAGCAGGCTCAAGGCCAAGGGACATTTTTTTAGGAAAGCAAGTCCCATCGAGTTAGCTCTTGGAGTAAAGGCATGACTTAAGGTAGCGAGTGACTTGAAGGTGAGATGGTTCAATAGTCGATTAGAGAAAGCGACTTCCCACGAGGGGAGGAAACTAAATAAATAGCGTAGATAAGGAAGTGGCTATTCTTTTTCATGACTCCGCTGCGCTCGAATAAGCTCTTTGCGTAAGAAAGGGATATGAGATAGATGCCAACAATCGGTAAAAAAAATATAGTAACTTACTGGTACCCCTGTCACTATTGTTTTGATGCTTAAATCAAGGCCTTTCTAAAAAAGAAAGAGGTCTGATGTGTGTCACTAGCCGAGTTAGAGGGCTAACCTAACCTTCAATAGACTCTTTCTGCAAGGAAATGACATAATTCTTTAGAATGAGTTTAAGGAAAATGCGGAGAATGCTCTTGTTACAGAATAGGCAACTGTGAGGGGAGGTTTGGATTGGACAATAGGGGCTGCCTTAGACGGTCTTGTCTTTCTCTTTGTGCAAATCCAGTGCTGGTGTCGAAGGTTTAGCCCAGCCCAGTGAATCAAGCAATTGAATCAGGAAGCGCTGCTAGAAGAGAATACTACATTGCCACTGCAAGTGCTTGAGAATGAGTTCACGCTCTTCTTGTTACAGTAAGTGCTGCAATTGAATCAGCTCTGGGACTTGAAGGCAGAGAAGGAGCCGGTGGAGTCAGTTAATCTGATTCATCCTATAATAAGCATCGAATCAGATTGATGGTAAAGAGAAATGAGATATTAAATGACCAAAGGTCTTATCACAAGCTGGATTCGAACCAGCACCTCTGGGAAATGAATACAATCCCAGCGAACTTCCTTTTCTTCTAATCGCGACTTTGGTTACTCGGTTCACCTTTCAGCTACGTCCGGGGTCGATCATATAGATCAACTAAGCCCCACCTCCACCAGCAAGAGTCAGAATGTTTGTTGCAATTCTTACAAACTCCCCAGTGTCCCCAAAAATGAGCAGATCATTTAAAGAGTTCAAACTGGTCCAAATGGAACCAACTTCGGGATTGAGCCCTGGTGGTAGAGTGAAGGTGGGTATTTGAAAATCGGGTTTAGAGGAGTCAAAGTGGAAGTCGTGGTGCTTCCTCCTAGGAAACCCGATTCCAATCCCGCGAATTCAAGAGAGTCCCCTGTAAGGGAAGACACGAACGGGAAGGACGAGCTACTTTCTTTCGACTTCCTGATGTCTCGCCCAGGTCAAAGACTGAGTCAAGCTACAGGTGACGGGTGAATATCAGAGGTTAAAGATATGAGAGAATGAATGTTGAATACCCACCAGAAAGACTCATCCAATCAAAAAGGATGTACAATAAAATACAAGATTTTTCTTACTCGACCAAACATCAGGAGAAGCAAATACAAGGGGTACACTAATAAGTAAGATTGATGAAGTAGCAATGAATGCAAAAAGAGCAAAATGAACTCATAACAGAAGCCTAGAGGACAGTTCTTCGTGGAGGGATGAGCGATTGGACCGCCTACGGAACAGATGCGACCCTTACCAGTTGACAGATGACAGACAGAAGAGCGGGAAGTCGCTCTATTTAAATAGAGGAATCCATTCTTTTTCGTCCTTTGTTCCACATACCAACCTGGTACTCATTCAAAAAGTCTTCTTTCTTTCGGAAGTGGGGCAATTGAGGCCCATTGATCCTTGGTTTTATGTCTAAAAGAGAGTTTCGAAAGTCGTCCTAGTCAACAGAATGAGGTTCTTCCCGCCATCCCTCTCATAACTCGAACTCGAACAACATCTTTCATTTCACATGCTGCCTTAGCAGCCTCGAGATCAAATACATCAGGAATTGGAGAATCTCTTATTTACTGCATCCCCAGCGATTCTTGAAAAAGAGCTTCGGCTTTTTGTTCTGTTGGACAGACATGAGGAACCCCGTTCAATCAGAGATCCTGGCAGAAGATGCCATTCCCTAAATCAGTCTAATCATCGGCTTGGCTTTACACCCTTTCCTTTTGGCTTGTCGAAATCCCGTTGAAGTTGATCAATTAATCGGCTTCATTTTCAGTTAAAGCCTCAATAGGCTTTGTGGTCCATTACTCGTTTTCCCCTCCTGGCCAAAGGGGAAATTACTGTTATTTGGGAACTACGCTTCTTCAAGTCTCATTTAGGGCTCTCAAGGAGCACCACCTGCTTATGGTTATCTCAAAAAAAAAGACATTTCTCCGTAAGTGGGCTCTACTTACTTTTACACCTTTCAAGGGCCTTTCCATCTATTGGAAATCCTGTCTTGTGTACCGTTGTACCGTCTTGTTAAGATAATGAGACCTTCTCTACGCGCCTCCCCTCCCACAAGGGGCTTTCCAAAGGCCTTCGTTGGTCATATCATGCAATTCCCCCTCTCTACCAACCTATCTATCGATTTTGAGTAAGACATGCGAATTGGAGAACTTATGTCCTCCCTGGCGATTAGTGAAATGGGGTTATCACTGTAATAAGAATCCCAAGGAACGTTAAGCCTTTGGTGTACTTAAAAATAGAAAGAAAGAGAATGGATTGATTGATGCTCTTCCTGCTGCTTGCTCACTGCGTGGGGTCAGAAGGAAGGTAGGATGCATCCCCGGGGCCTTACCGAGGAAAGAAATGCTGCTTGCTTTGTTAGATAGATGTGCGTTGCGTCTGAGGGTCTTCTCTATAAGAATCGTATCATCCATGGCGAATCGTATATAAGAGAACAGCCGTATGAATAGAATCTATCGACAAGTCGAGCCTACGTATATGTTAGAGCAAAACGAGATAATCCCAGTCGAGCGCTTGCTCTCTTCCGCCGCCGCGGTCCTGTCGATCCGCATGAACAGGGCGAGGTCTCTACTGCTCGGCCAACTCATATGCCCAACTCCTCTCTTTGATTGAGTTAGTCTGACCTTCTCGACTATTGGTTTGCCCGCACAGCTCTACAACTATATAGATAGGCTTAGCGATTCATCTTGATATCTTTATGGGAGCTTTACTCGACTCGTTGAGACTCGTCGGAACTGATCTCGGATAGAACAACAATACCACTTGATGTTCCTTGTTTCATCGGAGGTGCAACATAAATCTTTTCTTTGCGCTCCTCTTTCTCAAACTGTTTTCCGCATGTTTTTCTCCTCCGGAACAAGGTCTGATGCCTATCACGAGATAAGGTTGGTTCAGTCAGGAAAGATAGAGTTGGTGAATCAACTGACTGAAGATTTGGATAGTCATATTATATTACTAACATAAACTAGATCTTTGGTTTTTTCTTTAGTGGGCGGATGAACTAGCGCGCTTTGAAAGCGCAACCAACAGTTTATTACGTATTAGTAAGCTAAGCCTTTAGCTTAGCCTTGATAGAGCGCCAACAGCTCTTAGTCACTAAGCTGACTTACCAAACATTCAAACTCGAATGGAAATAGTTGGCACTCGACCCGACCACTCACTATCCCATGCCCACGAGACAAGGTGAGGTGGTAATGCGATGAGACGAATAGAATAAGACACTGCGAATTCTTGGATTCGGGTGTCAAAACAATGTGCGGACGGTCCCGAAAGAAACTCGTCTGTTTAGCGGCGCCGGCCGAGAGGATTGCTGATGGGCCGACCTATACCTATAGAAGTGGATGGAAACTCCCGCCCCGGAGTCAGAAGTGAACTAAAATGACATGGGTTGGGTTAAATAAGCAACAAGGATCTCCCCTCCCCCTAGCATCGGGCTAGCTAAGCTCTTTCCCGCTCCGGAGGCTAGCTATAGCTAGCTCAGCTCTCTCTTCGCGGCAAGGTAACTGTACAAGCTATTCGCCCGATGCGGCGCAATACATACCAATCAAATCAAATAAAGCGCTTACTGATTGACTTACCGCATCATCAATAGGCTCGTTTATGTACAAAGAACGGGGCAGGTAGACCGGTGATATGGAAAGAGATGTTTCTATATCAGCAGGAAGCCGTTTAGGCTTATGGCATTGTCGATCGCCTACCCGTTCGTGCGTGCAGGCAGGTATGCTATTTGGTCAATCCAAAAATCCGGGACGATGAGATACGGCGACCAAGGATCGCATTCAGTTTGAAGTCCCTACCGAGGAATGACCAAGTGCGATAAAGAGCAAGCGAAAACCAGCCCTTGGAGACGGGAGATGGCAGAAAGGAAGTGAAACTATGAACAGACGACTCGATCCTGGACCTCTTTTTATGTTCTGCCAGAGCGAAGGCTCGAAAAGATGAAAAGTGGGATGGATAAGCTCAAATAAAACTAATTTACGACGACATGGCAACAACTTTTTCACTGGGAACGACATGGATCAAAGGTATGAAGCGAGCAAAAAAAGTCAAGGTTTGAAAGAAAAGGAGTTGAACTTGAAAAGAAGGAAGAGAAGCAGAGATCAAAGGATAATGAAAGCGCCGAGCCATGAGTGAACACAACCAATGCGCTATACGGCCTCCTAACCCTACACGAATGAACAACATACTGAAGGGGATTAAAGAATCTATGACAAAACTAGGACAATGGCAGTAAATAAAAGAAAGAAAATGAGAACTGGAATTGAGGAACTCAATCGCTAGCAGCTGGCAAGAAGAAAAGACTTGCAGCAACTCCTTCAGAGCGAAGCAGCCATGCACAATCACTTAAGCCCTTACGCTGGGCTTCCCTAAAGAGAGCCCCTCCTCGCTCCACTCTCTCTAACAACGAAGGAAGTTAAGCTACTAAAAGGCGTAAGTCGTGACGGAACTCCATTCTATCTAGGAAGAGGAAGCGGCCCAGGCTTTCCGTCCCTGACCTCTGTCCCCAATCACATAAGCGACTGCATTCGTCACCTTCTCTCTGTTTTCTAGTTACCAATCTTTCATCGACTTATTCTTTCACTTTCCCCTTCGGTCAATAGCCCCTTTTATAGCGGTCTTGGTCCCTGGTTTGCTTCCCGTCAACCATCCTGACCGTCTATTACCTTTGAAAGCCGTCCCATCGCTATGCGCCTTTATGGCGGGGTATAGAGGAGCTCTTCTAGAGCGGCTTTCTTCTGAATAGAGAGATAGGGGAGGGTAGCGCATCCACAGTATAGAGAGATACCCTTCAACACAGTCAGTCACCCTTCGGCTACCCTCTGTGAGTGCTTTCTTCCAGCGAAAGGTAGCTACACTACCCTCAAAGTGAGATGGGGCCCGGTCTTCTCGCGCGGCTTCGCGAAAGGTCCGACTTGTTGATATGCTTGTCGATATGGAATTAGATCCAAAGGTTTCGACCACTCACTATCTAGAGAGAAACCCCAACCTTGCGGCCTCCCCACTTCTTATCCCTGGAGACCACCCGTTCCGCATCTATCTATTCATTCCGATCCCGCTGGTCCATCCAATAACGAAAGAAAGTGGTTTCCCAAAGACTCTGACAGAGCGGGACCGAGTTGTTTACTCTTTTCAAGTGGTCCAGTCTTTTTTACAGGTGGGGTGGTTCCTTCAGCTTCAGATAGGTGAATCAATGGGCCTCCACGGGAACGCTCGGGGGTATAGGGAAAATTTGAGTGCATTCACTAGCCAAGAATCTATCTCTAATAGTTCTTCCTTGCTTAGTCTTCAAGCTACTCTAAAGCGGTAGAATAAGAACTAAGGAACTGTGATTGAATCAGCTCTTGGGAATCGAATAGGAAGGAATGAAGCAAATTTCCCTAGTAGAATATGCCCAGAATCAGATTGAGGGACAGAAAGATAATAGGTGTTGCTAGGAAATGAATCAATACCCACGGACAGAGACTAGGCTGCACATGAATATAGATGCCCCATTGACTAAGAAGGGGCAAGCCTAAACCTCTGAGTCCCTAGGCAGAACAGGAATGAGAGCAGCAGGAAGCGTGGCAGTCTCG